CTTTCTTCGGCACGTCTCACGTTTTCTCTCGCCCCTTATCCTGAAGGCAGTTCCTCAGGTGGACGTTGTGGCACACTCTTGTTTGCACCAAGGAAAAAGAACGAGGGAGAGGGCGATCGTGCCGACCGGGATCGTCCGTTGGCAGACGAAGCCGGTTTAAGTCAAACGCGAGGAATGCTCCCCCTCCGGCGCAGTTCGGGTTCTTGCACTTTCCAAACGTCACGCCCCTTCGCGGAGTCGGTGCCCGGGGGGACGAACCGTTGCGGTGGCTCCGTGCAGCGGGGGCGATTACGGTTGATACGGGGATCCAGAGGGAAGAGCGCGGTCTCCTTAAGGTTGCCGGCACGGAAGACCCAGCCGTCGCGGCCAAGGCCCTACGGCGGGACGGTTCATGACGTCAAATTATTTTCTTCTCCTTTTTGACCATGCGAAAAAAAAAATAAAATGTATTGTTCCCAGTGCGGTAGCGTTTGTAGTGGTTTGCCTCTCTCGTTTCATTTCTAAGGAAATATGCATATATTGCTGTCATTGGTGCATGTGCAACTGCATGGTTATGCCCGTTGTTTCCCTTCCTTTTTTTTATTCTCCTTTTTGGTCATGCACAAAAAGTAAAGCCTGTTATTCAACGCGGTAGTGTTTCTAATGGTTTGCCTCTCCCTTTTTTTTTTGAATGTATGCATATATTTACGGTTTTTATTGGTGCATGTGCAACTGCACGGTAATCACGTGGTGTTTCCCTTCCTTTTTTCTTCTCCTTTTTGGACATGCGCAAAAATATAACACCTTTATATAATGTGGTAGCGTTTCTAATGGTTTGCCCCTCTCTGTTTTCTATTAGAAAATATACTGTGTTCATTGGTGAATGTGCAACTGCATGGTAATCACGTCTTGTTTGCCTCTGTTTTCATGTTTCTTAGAGCAGGGTTTTGTTTTTGTTCATCTGCGACTTCATTGGCCGTCCCGGTCTACACCTTAACAGAGACGTGACCATCTGTCCGTAACTTGAAAATAAGTTCTGAGTAAGCCTCTTCCATTTTTTCAGAAAGAGGCTGTTGTGTGCCGCTTCTTACATAGTCTGTGTCTTTACAACAGGGTGCTCCTCCTCTCCTATCATCTAGACGTAAAGTGATTTTCCTCGGTTTTCCGCAGCCCGAACGTTTGTAAAGGTGGGGCAGGACTGCACTTCGGCCTTGTGCGTCGACCCCGACGGTCCATCCACAAAAGGAATGATATCCTTCTCGCCACTGTCCCGCTGACACAACGTTGCCACTATAGCTGTGCGCGCGCTAAGCTTAAGCTTGCGCTTGGCGCGCACACAGATAGATGTAGTGGCAGCGCTGCCCCAGCGGGGCAGTGGCGAGAAGGATGCCGTTTCTTTTATGAGCGGGCCGCGGGGCCGACGCACACACCCGAAGTGCAGTCCTGCCCCACCTTAACAACGTTCTGGCCGCGGAAAACCGGGGAAAAAAACTTAGAAGAAGCTAAGAAGAGGAGGAGCACCTTATTTTAAAGACACAAGTCACCCCCTCCGCTTCCTCCATGTCCATCTCGACCTACTCCACTATCTTTAGCATGGAATACTGTAGACGAAATTGGTGATGGGACCTGTCTGCTCAGAGCAATTTCTAGCAAAACCTTACGTGACCCAGCAAATCATGGGCAAGATCGTCTTCAAGTTGTCGCACACACACAGAACAACCCGGCAACGCTGTTGTCCTCACATATCAAACGGCTTCGGAAACGACCCAACAGCAATTACTATTCTCTTCCAATGATATTTTTCCACAATGGCTCAACCCTCCGCCTACGCGTGTTATATTGAAACCGCCGCTCCGTCGGAATTGTGCAGACTCACCATAGAGGTTGTCGTCGCCGGCACCTCCTTTCCCACCCTTCACCTCATCCTCCCCAACAAAACAATTTGCACGTTCTTTTCCAACCACAGTCTTCGCACTACTCCACTTTGTCCCCAGTTTACAACATTTAGTGTCATTATTACATCCCTCTTGCGTCGCCCCCTGTGTTCAAGCACGTCAGTGTACCCACTCCACTCCCGAGCGGGGTCTTGTATTCATACATGAATAGGTGTTGATTACCATGTATGTATCTGTGGATTTCGAGGAACTAGATGAGATGGCGTGCGCTCGAAAGCAGATAGCGAGACACACAAACATACTGCCAACACAAAGCACGAAAGGGGTATATTATCACACACAAAGGCCGGCAGGGGGACGGGGAAACAAATACTTCTCTATCGTAGCACATCGCCAAGAGCGACGGCGGCCGGCAGCAACAGAGCAGCAACAACAACAAGGCACCTGCACCCCGAAGACGTCCTCGGAAGGGTGGCGTCGGAGGAGAGCCCACTCGCTGCCGTTGCCCTTGAGGAGGTGGTGGGACAGGGCCATCTCGCCGCACGTGATATCCGCTCCCTGGTCCTTCATGACCCTCCTGCTCCACAAAAAAAAAACACAAAAAAAGGAAAAAAAAACGTCGCACCGCGAAACCCTCGTGTGCCTTTTTGGCGACGGGGACGGACAGGCCAAAGGGTTCTGCTGTGGCGAATAACGCGCATACCACCCCACGGGCCCCCCGCAGATTCGCTCTTGCGTGTTTCTTGTCCCGCGAAGAAGTGGCGTAGACTAATTCGTCGGGTGGCTGCCCAAAGCACGGCGGCTTATGCACATCAAGGCTGAGCACACGTGCGCGAACAATACACGACAGCGGAAACAGCATATGGAGCTGCATCTGTCCCGCAAATTCGACGCATGTTCAGGTTCTTGATCGCCCCCTATTTTCGTACTTGTCGTCTATCGCATGAACAACGTGGGATACGAGAATAAAGCGATGAAACGACACCAAACAAGAGGTATCGAGGGGCATCGACGAACGAACACGACGTTGCTGAGATGCACCAAAAGCAACAGAAAGTTGTAGGCGGCTAGAATGCCACCCAAACGTCTCAGCAATGCTGGGTGCATGGGCCTTTCGTCATCCAGGAGCCAGCCCTTCGTAACACGCGCAAACATCCGGTTTGGAAGGGAACACCCGCACCCTCGGGTATTTGTTAACAGCAACGAATGTTACCGAGTTGTCGACGTAGGGTATGGCATGTCTTACGAGAGTCTGCAAGTCTTGGGTAGGGTGCGGTATGTTGTACCACCAAAGCTACCCAGCAGGGTAGGGCATCGCAAAAAGCTACCCATCCTCGGGTATATGGTATGGGGATGTCTTGCAAAATTTCCCCAGCGACGGGAAGGGTACACGCGGTGTTGTACAAAAAACAACCACAACCTCGGGTAGGGTACGGCATGGCTTACCAAAATAAAACAAGTAAAAGTTACCAAAGTCTCGGGTAGGGTACGGGGTGTCTTACCAAGGTTACCCACCAGGCTTGGGTAAGATTGGGTATTCCCTACAAACGTCACCCAGCCGACTCGTAGGGTACCACGCATCGTACAAAAAGTTACCAAAACCTCGGGTAGGGTACGGGATGTCGCACAAAAAATCCCGGTAGTACCGGAGTGCAATATCCGAATGCTCCAGGTTTGATACCCCACCATACCTATTCTTTGATTTTCTTACTTGATGCCGCCTCTGAGCGGAGCGGAACAGTATCTTCCTGATGGTTCAACCGCAAAAAAAACTATCAATAATGGATACGACCATTTCAACACCACCTGCGGAGATGGGGAGTAGGAGGTATTTTGGGCATCCCTACCCTCTCGCTTCGGTGTCACTCACTCTCTCTCTCTCTCTCTCTCTCTCTCTCTCTCTCTCTCTCTCTCTGCCATTTACGGACACAGGCTTTCCCTTTTTTTTTCGATTTCTTGAGGGGCCGCAGGGGTGGGGGGACGAGGGGGGACAGCATAGGATGATGATGATGATGATGATGATGCAAAGCCCAACCCTCCCATCCCCGGCTGCCGCTCCTATCGTGGAGATGCTGCAACAGCTCATTCATTGAT